AATCAAGGATTGGGATGTGTGTTGATGCAAAGAGGAAAAGTTATCGCCTACGCATCACAAGAACTAAAGGTGCATGAGATTAATTACACTACCCATGACCTTGAATTGGGAGTTGTAGTTTTTGCACTGAGAAGTTGGAGACACACAATTGGCCAGAGAACATATAGGTGATACCTTATGTGCTAAGCCAGAAATAATCCACGAGACAACTCAAAAGATCGTGCAAATTAAGGATCGGTTAAAGGCAGCACGTGATCGTCAGAAGAGTTATGTTGATGTAAGACGTAAGCCTTTGGAATTCCAAGTTCGAGATAGAGTAATGTTAAAGGTATCTCCTTGGAAAGCCGAAATTCGATTCAGGAAACGAGGCAAACTAAACCCACGGTATATAGGACCTTTTTCTAGCAAGAATTGGTTCTGTCGCATACCAACTCAAGTTACCTCAAGAGCTAAGTAGTGTGCACGATGTTTTTCACGTGTCAAAAGATGTCTATCTAATGACACTCTTGTTGTACCTATCAACGAGATACAAGTCATAACCAAACTCAACTTTGTAGAAGAACCTGTCGAAATCATGGATCGATACACCAAACGATTAAAACAAAGTTGTATTCCCATAGTGAAAGTTCGATGGAACTCTTTACGAGGACCTGAATTTACTTGGGAATATGAAGATCAGATGAAACAAAAATACCCCCAACTATTTAATAAAACCCCATCCACAAGATAAACTTCGGGACGAAATTATTCTAACGGGGGGAGAATGTAACACCAGTCAAAATAGGTCAACAACAATCACATGTGATTATGCCAATCATGTAATGTGATTTTGTTAAACTAGTAATGTGATAAACTTACTATGTAATTAATGTTAAAGTATGAACTTTCATAATACAACTCAAAGTATACGTCCATACGATTCCAAAAATGTAGAGAACGTCTGAATCTGACTTCGCGTGAAAAAGTTATGATAAACCGAACACTATAAAATCTTTATAACAAGAGGAATTTAAAATAGGCTTAGAATTAGATATTGTAATCTACTAGAGATTTGTAGTACTCGGAATTACCTACGCGTGGATATAAAGAACGTCAAAAACGGAGTTCGTATGCAAAAGTTATGGCCTTCCGAAGATTTCGCTATCAGAAACCCGAATTTGACTAAACTCACGACGTGAGGAGTCAAACCGCCATATTTCGGATCTAGAAGGTGTGACGAGGCTGCGAGGGGATAAGATCCAAACTCACGACGTGAACATTGATAATTCACGACGTGAGGAGTCATTTTGCCACCTTCGGAAGCTAGAAGACGGATGACAAGTCTACGAAGTGATAAGTTTGGAACTCACGACGTGAACAATGAGTTTCTCACGTCGTGAGGGTCCAAAATCCTTCCTATAAATAGCAGTTCCGACTTCAGCTATTCCTTACACCATTTTCCTTTCTCCTCTCTCCTGTGCTGAAGCCATCTTGCATCCCGAGCCTCGACGACCTCGTACGCTGACCGTTTCTGCTTAGATTACATAAAATCATGCTATTAAGGTGAGTTTCACGGCCCCACTTTCTAATATTTCGGGGGGAAACGCATGCCAAATATTATATATACGTTATTATTATATCTATATGATAATATATTAGTATCAACGTAGATAGTTATAATAACCGGGATATAGTTATTTCGTATCTGAAAGTATACAACTATCGTAAAGTTGTTAGCATGTTATTGTTATAGTAGTATACTAATGTAGATCTTGAGTTATACTTAGGATTCTATATATATGTGTTGTGTGCGATATAGTTCCAGAGTTATACTCGGAAGTTCTATATGTTAATTGATAAGTATGTTGTTATTGTTGGTTTTATGTCAAGTTAAAACCAGGTATGTTATATGTTGTTGTTATTGGTTTTATGTCAAGATAAAACCTGGTTTTAATTCTAATTATAGCTGTTGTACTACCGCAAGGTGTGATCCTTGTACTACCGCAAGGTGTGATCCTTGTACTACTGCAAGGTGTGATCCTTGTACTACCGCAATGTGTGATCCTTGTACTACTGCAAGGTGTGATCCTTGTACTACCGCAAGGTGTAATCCTTGTACTACCGCAAGGTGTGATCCTTGTACTACCGCAAGGTGTGATCCTTATACTACCGCAATGTGTGATCCTTGTACTACTGCAATGTGTGATCCTTGTAATAATAATAAGAGGTATAAAACTAAGTCATACAGTCGCAGCTATAGACTCATGGTAGCACAACTTTATAAGCATTATACTTTGTTGATATACAAGTATGAATGTTAAGTATAAGTTTCCCAAAGACTTATACTCTAAGTATAAGAATCTAGTAGGTATGGTATTTGTATATTAAGTAGACCACTATACCTATTCTACTTACTCGTATAGAATTGAAATAGATTTATACGTAGCGGTTTTACTCGTATAGAATTATAGGTAAACTACTTATTTGGTAAGTAAACTTTTATACCTAGGATATATATGCTAAACGTTGGTGAGTCAAAATGATACTTTCAAAACTATACTTTTGAACATGGAAAATGTATTATTTTATGGAGTCAAAACCTGTGAACTCACCAACTTTATGTTGACGTATTTTAAATTGCATGTGTTTTCAGGAAGTTGATAACCATGATACGAGAAATGACGTTACACCGCCCGGTGTTTCCGCCGACGGCCGGGGTGTGACAGCATCTCATATCTGAAATCTGAACTTTGGTAAGAAAGTCAATAAAGTATTGATTTCTAGAAGTCCAGTTGATTTTGGATGCATGTCAAAGCTAGTGGGAGCATAAATGTTATGCTAGTAACAAAATAGTTGTTATGCTAGTGAGAGCATAATTATTATGGTAAGTGTTGCGAGTTAGCAATACTATTTATAGGGCACAATCTAAAGTTCGCTATGGATTGGTTGCTTAAGGACAGTTGGAAGTATAAGTAATGGATGGACCATATTGACATTATTATGAATAGACAAAATTCTATTAATAATGCATTGTCATATGGCAATGGAAATGTTTTCATAATGGGAGTTGGATATTAAGAATCTATGTGTAGGTTAGAAACTTTTATGCAAGAAGGATGTTCAAAGGAATGTACTTTGAATTTGAGACTTCGCTCCCTTGGAATTGTTTTGTTATCAATCTCCAGTGGAAAGTTTTGTAATATCGTTGGCAAAGTCTCTGTGACTTTGGTACCTCGACATTACAAAAGATACATTGCATGAAAGTTTAGAATCTAACACATTCTTATAGTGGCAAGAATTATGTATTCTTACACTAAGTAATAAGGATTTGGAATTGTGAAATGAGCATCATTGAAATGTTTTCAATTTATCTATTTCACAAAGTAAGGACCATATATAAACATAGTGTGCATGCTTGTAGGATGGGATAACTATTGTTTTAATTCAATTATTAAGTTGATTAATCGAAACATTATACAACGAATAATGTGTAATCAATATGGTGATTAAATAATAAGTGTTTTATTTATATTCAAAAGTTTTGAAACCATATTGGATTAAATTATTCTTGTGTTTTACTTTGCGTGTTTTGACTTCCCGAATAATAAGATTATTCAAACTATCCACAGTCGATCATACTTTGGAAGTAGGTATTGACGTAAGACTGTCATGAATCCGTCTGTAGATTGTCTAAAGTGTTTAGACTGCTACAGTATTCATGAGTACTCCTGTAATAAGATTTGAGTATTGGATTAAACCCACGCTCATCTGAATCACTTCATGGATTTTATCACGAGTAATTAGTGAGACGATAATATCTTATATTCTCGAAACGGAGACATATAGTTGCTGTTTACAAGTCAATTGCACATTGATGATATGTAAATGCACCAGTAACTTGGTGTTATAAAATATATTAATGTCTGTGATTTGATGAGTAAATAGAGCAAGCATATGAGTCGAAGTTTATCCGTTCCATTTAACCTAATAGGGATAAAAGCGATATTTGTGGGCCCCTCAATGATTTAGTGATGACACCCTAAGCGCTTGGCCAACCCTGGACTGATTTGATTTGTTCAGTTAGTCATTCATCATAAATTGGAAATCGGGAAACAACATATCAACAGAGAGAATGATTATAATCCATGTCTCAGTTCATACGATATCTAGAATGGAGGAATATATGATCCCTTATCTAATGGACGCGTCAGAGTTCGACATCGGCTTTTGAGAGCTACGATTGCTAATCGGATTTTGGAGTCGTACTTGCAATAATAGTTATTAGACTTATCCAAGTGGGAGACTGTTGGATTAGGTGTCTATGCCCATAACTATAATTGGTATGTACTTGACCCGAGAGTAGCATGGTCCATTTTGGGTTGCCTTCACCAGAACAATCTGATAGGATGGATATTTGAAAAAGAGGTTATTTGTGATTTATTAATACATTATAAGTATAATATATTAATTGATAAATCATATTATTTAATTAGTATTGATCAAGAATTAATTTGGAATTAATTTAGTGATCAAAATAGACTAATTAAATTAACGGGGATTGATTATGTAAATCACTGATACATATGGTTTAGGCTATTTATCCATGATGGACTAAGTTTATGTGAAAGTCCATGAAGAGTTAGTCCATATGAGTTATTGGATCATAAGCCTAATTGTAAGAATTAGGGTTTACATATGACTCTTGGAATTCTACACTATATATGTATTCCCTAAACCCTAAAATCGGCACTTTGTTTATTCCATGAAGGGTATAGCCGATTTTTGGTGTGTCTAACATCTCTCTCAAAGTCCTCCATTTGTTCATGTTTTTTGTGAACCATTTGAGGCATCACACTTAAGGTGCTAATCTCTTGAAAGGCCAAATTCTACAAGCTACAATATAGAGGTATTCATCTAACTTGATTTTATGTTTCAAATATCAAATTGTATGCTAGTTGTAGGCTTCATGCTTTGGATAATTTTATTGCATGTATAACTAGAGAAAACTTAGATCCAAAGCATTAGGGTTGTATGTGCACCATAGGGATGTTAGAGTACATAAAACCCAACAGGAACAAGGAGGGAAAGAGGGCCTTCTGAGTTTTGAGTGTGACTTGTGCTTCACGAGCCTCCCTTTCCAGAGCTTCAGATTCCTTGGCAACCCACTGAGCTTCATCAAGCTCTTTATCACGTTTCTTTCGTTTGAGCTTTGCCCCTTCAGATAATTCCTCTTCTTCTTCATCATCATCAATCAACTTTCCTTTTCCCTTCGATCCAGAAGCTTCATTACCCTTCGGATCTTGTGATTTTAGCTGTGTCTTATGTTCGTATTCACCAGAATTAGCAGCCAATTTATTTAGTTCTTCAGTAGATGGCTTCTTTGCTTCTCCCCCTTGTTTCGGAAGAGAGCCAGATTCCGAAACACCCTTGATATGATTCATCAAGGAGAATACTGGCTTGAGTTTGTCAGCGAGATGTTGGCGAACTGAGACTGTGAGCAAGGAATCACGAGTCTCTACCAGATTTTGCAAAAAGAGGTTAACATCCGCAATACAACTTTTGATAACAACGTTTTCGGACTTTAAGGCATCAAGCTTCTTGTTGGCATTTTCAAGATGAATTGAAAGATCCTTCACCTTTTCAGTCTTCACAGCTAGCTTATCCATGATCTTGTTCTCCATAGCCAGATCTGTTGAGTATTTGATATATTGAAACTGATTTGACATGTTTGGTTATTTAGGGAAGCCTTTTTAGGGTTAATCGTTTTGTGATTCCCTACTTTGCCTTTACATTAGAAGTTCTTCATCGAACTCTTCTAAGGCATTGGTTTTATATTTTTGGTAAATATTTTATGTTCCCTATAAATAATCATTAGGTTAGCTTTTGTTGTAAGCTTTTTCCTAATTAGGGTTTTCTTTGTACGTTCATATCAAAATCAATATACACAAAACATTTGACAGATTACTTGCATATTATGGTGATTGATTCGTGATTATTCTTGATATTCCGCATTCGTCATCTCAGATTTATTCCTAACAAGTGGTATCAGAGCGGGTTCTTGTAGATCTCAGCGATTATTGCAACAACCGATATTGTTTATGACAATATTTTTTCGTGAATATCACCTTGTTCTTCAAGTTTTTATAAGTTTTCTGAAAAGAAAAAGTGAAATATCTCGTTTTGTTGCAAAACCCATCTCAGATCTGTTATTTTCTACTCATTATTTCATCTAATTTTTTCTTGATTCGTGTTTTGGAAGAGAAATAGAAGAAGAATTTCGTGTTTATTCGCATGTTTGTGTTCAGATCTACTTTATCTCTCTAAAAACCATCTCATATCCATTTTCTCTCTCTAGAAATCTTATCAGATCTACTTTCTCTCTCTTCAAGTTCTGTCACTTGTTAAAGATCTAATGGATTTTTTATTCTATAACTCCATCTTAGAACTTGGATTAAAGGTTACTAAACCAATCTATGGAGTCAACAAAGTAGCTATGTTTCATATTCTTGGTGAATATACATTGAGGGATGTTACTGAGTTCTATAATCTTTTTGTTGATAAGACAATATCTGAATACTCACGTGTTAATGACGGTGAATTACAAAAGGATGAGAGAATAGTAGAACAATTTCGTATTATCCATAGATATTTAGATCGAGAAAATAAGCAACAGACTGTGGAGATGAAAAGAGCTGAAAAGAAAAAGGAAGATGTTCTTGGTGAAGTTCATAATCTTCTTCATCTTTCTGAAGAAAAAGTGACTCCAGATGTTCTTGTTGAGGGGGAGTCAATTGGTTCAAGTTTTTCAGAAGTTTTACAATCTGAATCTAGATGTTTTGAAGACGAATCTCATGGCAAAAATTCAAAAGTTGTGAATGTAAAGACATTTTGTTCTATTAGAACTCAAACAGATGATTTTTCTAGTTCTGATGATGTTTTTGAAGGATTGGTTCCTTACAGAAAGCCAATAATTCAAGATGTTCAGATTTACCAAACTCCTAAGGATTGTGTTCAAAAGTCTTCAAATGTTTAGATTCAGAAAGGTGAAGAGGTTGTTCAGATCCAAAATTCGTTTCTAAAGCCTAGAAATCAGAAAAGAAAGAAAAAGAAGAAGAACAATAGTAAAATGAAGAAAGTTTGGATGCCCAAGTTACAAGTTCTTCAAGCTTGTGAAAAGGTTCAGAAAATTGAAGTCAAACATGTTCAAAGAAACTTCACTTCTCATTTTTCTTCAGATAAAGATGTTAGAAGTTGGAGAAAAGAGGAAAGAGTATTTGGTTGGTTTAATGAAGTTTTAGGAACTTTTTGTTTTCCAACTAAAAAGTGGGTATTATTTTCAGAAGATGATCGATTATCTTCAAATAAATGGGTATGCAAGAAACCAACTTCAATCTTGAATCTTAAATGGGTACCAAAAGTTTCATAAAAGTTTTGTCCTTTATCAAAAAAAAATGAATAATGAAAAATAAAGGGGACAAAATATGGTGAAAGCTAACGAATTTTGAGTCAAAAGGATGAAATCTTGTTGAAGGAATCAATTTTTATTGATTTTTAATTGTTGGAAATGACAAAAGGCTGAAAAACTTGAAAAAATTGGTGACAAATGACATTTTCTGCAAAAAAAGAGAGCTACCATCTGACACATTTCAGCAAAAAGGGTGCATGCTGTCAGTGTACTGTAATAGGAGGGTTACATTCGGAATTATTGACAAATAGGGATTAGGTTCGGAAGTTTGAAGAAATAAAAGGGTTAAATTCAGAATTATAGTCAAAGATTGATGTTTGATTGGTATAGTGGGTTGCATTTGATTCTTCACTGATTCTCTAGGGGCCAATTATGTAACGTGATGAAATACTTACTTTGCATCTGGTAACGAACAAAAGAAAAAAAAGGAAGGCTTTACATGAAAGTCGCAATCAAGAATCAGAGGAGTTCTAGTTTCAAAATTGAATTTAGAGTTCACTATTCATCTCGGAATGACTCCGAGCGCTCGGAGCGATTCAGAGTTCTAAGATCAGAAACCTTTATCGGATTCACAATCGGACTCGTATTTGGAAAACGAAATCGGAATCTGAAGCTACGAATGCGAATATACTATTCATCTCCGAGCATTCGGAACTATTCAGACTCGGTATGAATCGGATTCGAAACTTCAACACTCTCGGAGTTCTGCGTTCGGAGTTCTAGGCTCGGAGGTTGCAATCGATTCGGAAGTTCAAATCAGAATCGGAGTTTCATCACTTTCGGACTCGGAATTCTGGACTCGCATCTTACTTGGAAAATGGAATTGTTCTGAATTAGAATTAAATGTCACGAACTCGGAAATCATCATCGTACAGCAGGTTACTCTCGCTCAAATCAAAAGAGTTCGATTTCGAATGTGAAGACTGCAAGCAAAACGAAACTGAAATCGGATTTCAAGCAAATTGAAAACGGAAATTTCATTCATAAAATTCCAAATCGGAATTGGAAGTCCCGTCAGATCTGTTGAATCGGAATTAATGAATATCTCAATCGGAAATTGGAATTCACATATATAATCGGAACTTATGAAGAAAAGTCAACATTCGATCTGCATCATATATATGATCGGAATCTGATTTTGACTTTACGAGTCAAAATGGTGTGTTTCATTCCGATTAAACTGAAGATGAGTTCTTTTTCTCAAATTCAGTCTCCTAACTCAGAGTTTCACAGTTTCAACCCCACATATAAAATTTTTTTTACAAATTCTTGGATTTTACCATTTTTACCCCTTCTTACCAAAATATTTTCACTTATTATTCTTTTCTTTGGTCTTATTCTTTTAAATCTCTTCTAAATAATATTTTCTTATTCTATTCTTTTTGTCTAATATCTAAAAATCGAAAAATACAAATTTAATTTTTGTTACTTTTCCGGTTTTAATTTTTGAAAATTGGGTATATTCTAAAAAGATTTATTTCATCAAGTCTGACGGGTTTTGAAGATCCTTTTTGGCAACTCGCTCCTTATGATAGAGCAGGTTATACGACTTACTCTATGAGATAGCAAAGATTGTTGATGATTCTTCTTAACTTTTCGGATTCTCTCCATGATATTTTTTGAAGATTTAAGGGGGATTGATGATTATTCAAGGGGGAGTTCGTATTTGGAAGATGATATTTAAAGTAGAAACTGATTTGGCATGTTTGGTTATTTAGGGAAGCCTTTTTAGGGTTAATCGTTTGGTGATTCCCTACCTTGCCTTTATAGTAGAAATTCTTCATCAAGCTTTTCTAAGGCATTGGTTTTATATTTTTGTAAATATTTTATGTTCCCTATAAATAATCATTAGGTTAGCTTTTGATGTAAGCTTTTTCCTGATTAGGGTTTTCTTTGTACGTTCATATCAAAATAAATATACACAAAACCTTTGACAGATTACTTGCATATTATGGTGATTGATTCGTGATTGTTCTTGATATTCCGCATTCGTCATCTCGGATTTATTCCTAAGAAGATCTTCTTGAAGCTTCTCAATCTTGGAACCGATAGAGGCACTTAACTCCGCATTGTCCTCTAGGAGTTCGGCACGAACCTTGGATAAAGCTTCTTTCTCGGTTTGGAGCCTATTCCCAAGATTGGTAATCACCTTGTTCGCAACTGATGTGTTGTTGTCAGAGGAACTCTGAAAGTCCTCCATGAACTGAGTGACATTTGCAAGTAGTTTTTCAACTTTTTCGGTCGTATCACGAACAATCTTTTTGGAGTTTTCAACAACTTTGGTAGAAGCATCAAGACTCTTGGCATGTTCCTTGGTGAGAGTCTCGATTAAGGCTTTAACAGACTCATAGGAGTATTCGTTGCTTGACGATGTTTTGGAAGACTCAAGTAGAGTATCCAACTTTTCATTGAGGGCCTGAAACTGCCCTTTCGTCACAGGTGCATCATCATCACTTTCCTCGTGAATAGTGAATGGAATGTAGTGGAAATATTGAAGGTCATCCCGATCATCACCAAATATCATATCCGGATCATCAGTCCTTAGGGGTGAGATTGGGGTAGAATCCTGACCAATAGTAACACCAAATGCACCTGCCCCCGTATCAGATACGTTGACAGTTACTAGAGGTGAACTCGTAGTGGTCGTTGTTGTTGTGGATTCGGTGTATAGGAGAGTGGTGTGAGCAACTTAGATCTGTGGTTATGAAACACCAACAAATATATTTGGACAAGGAGCGATTGTGATTGGTGTAGAAATGGTTGTAGATGTAGTAGTAGGAGGTGGTGGAGGAGAAGGAACATGAAAAGTGTCATTTGGTGAAGGAACAGAAGTAGGAATCACGGAATATACCTTCGCAGTAGACCGAGTGGGAGTGGGCTTCGAGACCATAGGTTGGGAACTGACTCCTGTATCTTCGTTATTATTCCGAGCCTGAATATCTTCCGAAATGGTTCGAGAATCCGAATCCTTTTAAGCGACTGGTGAGGGTGATCTCGGCTTGCGAGTAGCCCTCTTTATTTTCTTCTTCGGAGTTTGAGCTGGCTCGGAGGGACCAGCTTTCGCCTTTTTTCCGCCCTTTTTGGGTTTGTTACCTTCTTCAAGTTCCCTTCATAAATCTTCGGCCCTAGGTCGAACACCAGAAGCAGGTTTCTTTCGGTATTCGTTTATCACAACATTATCACCTGGAACATTTAAGAGCATTGCTTTGGGAATCG